CCTCCTCCTCCTCCTCCTCCTCCTCCTCCTCCTCCCTCTTCACGCGCCTACTCATCATCCGAAAACCAGCACCATCAGCAGCAACAGCAGCAGCACTAGCAGCAGCAACAGCAGCAGCAGTAACAGCAGGAGCAAAAGCACCAGCAGTAACACGTGCAACCTTCGCCACAAAAGATCTCCCAATTCACCGCTGTTGCCCGCTCTGGTTCACTATGTGTTTCTCGTTCTCCCTTCTTCCGTCAGCATTTCTGGGCATCGTTTCTGGATGGGTTGGTGGGGATACGCGAAGCGTCTAGAATTTCGGTTTACGGATATCGTGGCGCTCACAAGTACGGGGGAGCGTGCGACCAGCGACCGTACGCCAGAGTTCGCAGACCTACTCTTTCACTTCGTGATCAGATGTGGCTACGTGCCAGGGCTCCACACCAATCGAGCCTGCGGCATCTCACTCCTCTTGAGGAGACGTGTGGTCAAACGCAAAGATGTGCACGATGTGCCGTCAGTCCCTGTGAGTCTGCAGGGTAGGAGTGGCGATCTTCAGAATGAGGTCGGGAAGAAACGATAGTCGTACCGGTGTTCCGCGGGATGGCCTGCTCCGCGGGCGCCGCGAAGCCAGTGAACTCGCTGTGTTTCGCCGAGTGCCATTCGCGGCAACTGTTGCGGCGGCTGTCGCGCGACGCGCACACCTCGCACTCGACCGCGCGCCAGCCGCGCGGGTCAAGGGGCTCGTTGCAGAGGCTTCCGGCAAGGCGGCGGCGCTGGCAGCGGGATCCCGGCAGGCAGACTGGGACGCAGAGCCGGCGCTTGAGATTGCCGCGGAACTGCGAATCTGGTTGGCGGGGGTCGTCTGGCCGGCGCGGCAACTGGCTCCCGTGCCCCCATTTTCCCGCGGGCGCAGGCGGCGGCCCTCGTCGCGCGCCCGCAGCAGCTTCTCCCTGGTGGCCGCGGAGGCAACTTTGCACCAGTGCCCCTGTAGTCTCGGTTGTGGTTCTGCAGCGCAGTCTATCCAGTCGAAGTGCGCTTCAGGAACGTCGGCCGCCTGGAGCGCCGCCCCCGCCTGGCCGAACGTCCGATGCGCCCGCGGGCAACGGGCCCGGAATACACCCAGCGAGCTGGCCCCGAGGCAGGCAATGACGTCGTGGAGCAAGAGAGCCCAACTGGCAGCACAGGCAGCGGGCGCCGCCAGGGCGGCCGAGGGGAAACCGCATCCGCCGCCAGCAAGGCGCAGAAAGGCTTGGAGGCGCTGCCGGGCGCCCGCAGGCCCGCCAGCGAGCTGCTCGAGGCAGCTGATAAGGACTCGGTCAAGCTGTTCCGCCCAGCCCCCCTGCAGGTTGGCGCGGAGGCGGTGCGCAACGCATCCGCAAGCAAAAGTCAGGGGGAGAGCGAAGGCGCTCTCAACTCGGAGGCCTGTTTGTCGCAGCTCTTGCAGGCGGGCAGCAAAGGCCGCTGCCTTGGCTGCGGCCGTGGCACCGTCTAACCCAGCGTGGACAGTCACTCCTTCGTCCTCCTCTCCCTCCCTTCTCCTCTCCTGCTCGAGCCATGAGGCAGCGTCCCCCAAGCAGGTGGGGTTGTCCACCCAGCGCCCCTGGACGGTGGCCAGCAGGTGACTGCGCCCGCAAGCGGGCTACGCTTACGTTTTCGCCCGGTCGCCTGCCGGGTGCCACGCAAGGGCGTCAGCGATGACCTGCATGGCTGCGCACGCATGCTCTGGCGGGGCGAAGACCACGACGTCGTCGAGGTAGCTGACCACCCTGCTGGAGGTCGAGAGTCTGGAGGCGCACGTAGACATCGCCCAATGCGTCTGCAGTGCCAATTGCGAAAAGCGCCGGCGAGAGTGGACACCCCCGGACCACGCCGCCGCTGGCCCGAACGCGGCGGGCGTCGTCGGCGACGTCGCCCAACCAATAATGTTGCGTGGTCCCCGTGAGCCAGCGGTGGGCGCACTGGAACAGCCGCCGGGCACGCTGACGCACGCCGCCCAGCGCCGCGTCGCCGGGGGCGCCGTTGAACGCGCCGGAGCAGTCGAACGCCGGGGCGGCCCCGAGCGGGCAAGCCTCCGAGAGCTAGGCCCGCAAGACACTTGCGCGCGAGCTCGCACCCGGTCGCGCGGCCAACGGCATATTCATTGGTGGGGCCCGACTGCGCCCGGCATCTCGTCTTTGCACAAATCGCAGGCGGCCCTCGCAGCGAAGCGGCGGAGGACGCAGCCGCAGGCAATCGGCCGGAGGGCCCCGTTCCGCTTGGGCTGGGCCAGCAAGCGGGCGCCTAGGTTGGCTCGCGTCGCGTCGGGGCTGAGCTCGCCGAGCACGAGGGCGACTGCGACCTTGGCCACCGCCTCGAGAGCAAAGGCGTCGGCCAGCAGCGCGCGCCAGTGCTCGAACCGGCTTCCGTTTGACCTGGCACAGAGCGGTGCGGGCTCTTCGCCGGGCTCTTGGCCACGGAACAGGCATGCTTCCAGGTTCCGCGCCTCCTCTGGCGCCCCGCCAGCGCCGAGCGCCGCGTCGGCCAGGGCCTTCCGGAGGTCCGCGATGGCGCACTGGACGGCCGACGGCACCACACGCACTGTGGAGTCCGGGTCGCGCAGGGAGGCCCAAGAAACCGTGCCCCAGAAATCCATGCGCAAGAGCTCCCCGTACTGCACCTGCGCGGCGTCCGCGGCGGCAGCACCGACAGCTCCCCCTCCCAGCCCGCTGGCGTGTTCCGCTCCTCTGGCTCCAGCTCCAATTCCTTCCTCTCCGTCTCGTGGTCCTCCTCCTCCGCCCGCCAATGCGCCAGCCGCGTGCGCGGCCTGCGCCTCGACCTGCTTGTCCGGAGCGACGGCGTGCCACCCCGCCAGCTGCGCAGGTGGCCCATACCAGTGCGCCACGCACCGGATGTGACGCAGCCGCGCGCCTTTCCCCCCGCGCCGCACCCGGGGCACCCTTGCGGGTATCTCCCCCAGACACGTGGCGCACACGGCGAGGCTCCTCGCAGTGAGGCCAGAAACGAACCAGCTCAGCGCGGCCTCGCGGCAGCCGCAGCGCCCGCCGCGGCTGGCGCGTCCGCGTCCACGCTCGCCGGCCGCCGCCGCCACCGCCTGCGCCCCTCGTTCACGTCGCCCCCCCTCGTCGACGTCGACCTCCATGGCCCCGGAGTTGGGGGAGGGGGCGGAAGGGTGAAGGGGGGAAAAGCAGGTGAGGAGGGAGGCGGCCGGGCAACGGCTGCGCGCGACTCGAGCCTCCTCCTCGTCCTCCTCCTCCTCCTCCTCCTCCTCCTCCTCCTCCTCCTCCTCCTCCTCCTCCTCCTCGTCCTCCTCCTCCTCCTCCTCCTCCTCCTCCGCCTCCGCCTCCTCCGCCTCCTCCTCTCCTCCTCCTCCTCCTCCTCCTCCTCCTCCTCCTCCTGTTCCTCCTTCTCCTCCTTCTCCTCTTCCTCCTCCTCCTCCTCCTCGTCCTCCTGCTCTCCTGTTCCTCCTCTCCTCCCCTCTTCCTCCTCTTCCTCCTCTTCTCCTCCTCCTCCTCCTCCTCCCTCCTCCTCCTCCTCCTCCTCCTCCTCCTCCTCCTCCTTACTCCTCGCCATCATCATGATCATGATCATGATGATGATCATCATCATCATCATCATCACCATCATCATCATCATCATCATCAGCAGCAAGCAGCAGCATCATCATCATCATCATCATCATCATCATCATCATCAGCAGCATCAGCATCATCATCATCATCATCATCATCATCATCATCATCATCATCATCAGCATCATCATCATCAGCAGCATCAGCATCATCATCATCATCATCATCATCATCATCATCATCATCATCATCATCATCATCATCATCATCATCATCATCATCATCATCATCATCGTCAACAGCATGATCATCATCATCGTCATCATCATCACCATCATCATCATCATCATCATCATCATGTTCATCATCATCATCTTGATCATCATCATCATCATCATCAGCATCATCATCATCATCATCATCATCCGCCTCCTCATCATCCGCCCTCTTCTTTCTTCTTCACATCCTCCTTATTATGTCCTCCTCCTCCCCTTCTTATTATGGATGTTCGTAATAGAAATACGCTTACTTTCAGTATTAATAGCATTCGTCGTCTTACCATTGTTATGTCTATTATTACCCCTTAGTAGTAGCATACTTCTTTTTCTGCAGACAAGCAATATTATGGTGGATACTATTATCATCCAGATGATTGGTCTTGCGATTGCTGTTATTACTCGTTGACTTATTCGTGGAATTAAAATATCAGTACACGTATTAGCAATGGGATTGTTATTAATACTCTTGTTATAACCTGACGATGGTAATTATTAGTTGTAGCCGTAGTAATAATATCCGTAGCGGTGCTCTGAAGACTCGTAATGCTCTTTTTATGTTTTCTTCTTCTTAGTATTATCCGTATTATTATTGTTGATCGCATCCGTACTGTTATTCTTACGCTGAATATTATTATTAGTATTCCTCCTCCTCCTCCTCCTCCTACCCTCCTCCTCGACACCGCCGCTGAACGAATGCTGGAGTCGGCAAGCCTACGCGTGCTTCCTTCAATGACAGGCTAGTCATGTCACCATCCCCATGTCGACGGAGGCAGTTCTCGTTCGCCGCAGACCCCTGCCAGTCAAGCTTCCGAAGGGATTGCCGTCCAGGGAGCTCGACGGAGGGAGAGAAAGCCCGGGAGCCTGCTCGTATTTTCTTCGCAGGCTGACCATCTCTCTCTCGACGGAGTTGATAATGGAGTTCAACTTGTCTATCTCTATGACGTACTGCTCCACCTCAAAGGTATTCATCCATCCTCCTCATGTTTCTCCTTCTCCTTATACGCCCCATTCCCTCTGCTCCTCCTCCTCCTCCTCCACCTCCTCCTCCACCTCCTCATCATCATCATCAGTATCAGCATCAGCATCAGCATCAGCATCAGCAGCAGCATCATTATCATCATCAGCATCATGGCCATCGTCATCGTCATCGTCCTCATCATCATCATCATCATCATCATCATCATCATCATCATCATCATCATCATCATGATCATGATCATCATCATCATCATCATCATCATCATCATCGTCATCATCATCATCATCATCATCATCATCATCATCATCATGATCATCATCATCAGCATCATCGTCATCGTCATCATCATCGCCATCGCCATCGTCGCCACCATCATCATCATCATCATCATCATCATCATCACCATCATCATCATCAGCGTCATCGTCAGCATCATCATCATCATTATCGTCAGCAGCAGTAGCATCATCACCACCATCATCATCATCATCATCAGCATCATGATATCATCAGCAGCATCATCATCAGCGTCAGCATCGACACCGGCGTCGTCTTCATCTGCAGCAGCAGCATCATCGCAACCACCACCAACACCACCACCACCACCATCATCAACATCATCATCATCATCATCAGCATCATAATCATCATCAGCATCATCACTATCATCAGCATCATCAGCATCCTCACCATCATCATCCTCAGCAGTAGTAGCATCTTCATCATCATCATCATCATCATCATCGTCATCCTCATCATCATCATCATCATCATCACCATCATCATCATCCACATCATCATCACCATCATCAGCATCATCGTCAGCAGGATCATCAACAGCATCATGTGCATGAGCATCATCATCATCATCATCATCATCATCATCATCATCATCATCATCGTCGTCACTATCATGATCAGCATCATATGCATCCTCATCATAATTCACATCCTCATCATCAGCAGCAGCAGCATCATCATCCGCATCATCATCAGCATCGACATCAGTATCATCATCATCAGCATCAGCAGCAGCACCATCATCACCATAACCATCACCATCATCATGATCATCATGATCAGCAGCATCATCATCAGCATCATCATAAGTATCGTCATCATCCTGAGCAGCAGCATCATCATCGTCATCATCGTCAGCATCAGCATCATCATCAGCATCATCAGCAGCAACAGCAGCAGAATCCTCATCATCATCATCATCATCACCATCAGCATTAGCCTCAGCAGCAGCATCATCCGCATCGTCATCATCAGCAGCATCATCAGCAGCAGCATCAGCATCAGCATCAGCAGCACAATCATCATTATTATCATCATCATCATCATCATCATCATCATCATCATTATAAGCAGCATCATCATAATCATCAGCATCATCATCATCATCATCGTCAGCAGCATCATCATCAGCAGCATCACCATCACCATCACCATCAGCATCATCATGAGCATCATCATCCTCATCACCATCATCATCAGCATCAGCAGCATCATTATCAGCATCAGCATCAGCATCATCATCATCAGCATCGTCAACAGCATCGTCAACATCATCCTCTTCACCGTCCTCATCATCAGAATCACCATCAGTGCTAACATGATCACCACCCTCATCATGATCGTGATCGTTGAATCCTATTCCACGTCATCATCCTGGTCGACCTTTTCCTCCTCCATCCTCCTCATCCTCATCCTCTCCCCCCTCTCAGCCTCTCCCCGACCCGGATGCATCCGCCACCCTGCCTCTGGGCACGGAGTGGGCGTGCCCTCAGGTCCGCCGGGTGCGCAGCAGCAGGATGCCTATGTCCTGGCCGCGTCCGTTCCCTCACCCTCTAAGCGTGTCGTGGCGCAGTCGGGCAGGCGCGGAGCTCGGCATGCTTGTGCGTGTCTGTGTGGAAGGGCGAGGGAGGTTTACACTGGTCCGCCTCCTGTTCGTCACCATTCTGCTTGTACCTCCGCCTACTCTCAGGTCGGGCGTGTCCCCCATACAGGCGGATTTTGGACGAAGCATTAGTTGTTATGCTATGCTATGCCATGCTATGCTGCGCTATGCTATGCTATGCTATGCTATGCTATGCTATGCTATGCTATGCTATGCTATGCTGCGCTATGCTATGTTATGCTATGCGATGCTATGATATGCTATGTTATGCGATGCTAAGCTATGATATGTCATGCTGCGCTGTGCTATGCTAAGCTATGCTATGCTATGTTATACTAAGCTGCGCTATGCTATGCTATGTTATGCTATGATATGCTGGGCTATGCTATGCTGTGCTGAGCTATGCTACGCTATGCTATGCTATGCTGTGCTCTGCTATGCTAAAGCTCAGCGAAGCTAAGATGAAGGTAAGCTAAGCTAAGATAAACCTGAGCTAAGATGAAGCTAAGCTAAGCTAAGGCGAAATAAGCTAAGCTAAGATGAGATAAGCAACGCTAAGGTAAGGGGATGTAACTGGGGGAACCGCGGGACGGATCCTGGGGGAACCGCCCGGGGCGAGGACCACTGCCCGGCCCTTTAAGCTCTAAAGTAAGAACCCTTCTAGGCAGAGCCTAGGTAGGGAATAAGCTAAGCTAAGATGAGATAAGCAACGCTAAGCTCAAGGGACGCAACTGGGGGAACCGCGGGGCGGATACTTGGGGAACCGCCCGGGGCGGGCCCCACTGCCCGGCCCTTTAAGCATACCGAGTAAGACCCCTTCTAGGCAGATCCTAGGTAGGGAAAAACTGAGGAACGATGAAACTGAGCTAAGGTAAGATGAAATAAGCTAAACTAAGATGATATAAGCAACGCGAAGCTAAGGGAACGTCACTGGGGGAACCGCGGGGCGGATGCCGGGGGAACCGCCCGGGGCGAGCCCCACTGCCCGGCCCTTTAAGCTTAACTATGCTATGCTAAGGTGCGCTATGCGATGCTATGCTTGTTATGCTATGTTATGCTGCGCTATGCTATGCTGTGCTTGGCTATGTTATGCTATGCTATGTTATGATAATGCAGCGCTGTGCTATGCTAAGTTAAACTAAGCTAAGCTAAGCTAAGCTAACCCTCTAAGCAGAGCCTAGGTAGGGAATTACACCCATGCTATGATATACGATGCTGCGCTATGCTATGCTACGCCCTGCTATGCATACTGTGCTCTGCTATACTAAAGCTCAGCGAGGCTAAGATGAAGGTAAGCTAAGCTAAGATAAAGCTATGCTAAAGATCCGCGAAGCTAAGATGAAGGTAAGCTAAGCTAAGATAAAACTGAGGTAAGATGAAGCTAAACTAAGTTAAGATGCAATAAGCTAAGCTAAGATGAGATAAGCAACGCGAAGCTAAGGGAACGTCACTGGGGGAACCGCGGGGCGGATGCCGGGGGAACCGCCCGGGGCGTGCCCCACTGCCCGGCCCTTTAAGCAAACAGAGTAAGAACCCTTCTAGGCTGAGCCTAGGTAGGGAACTATATATATATTTACATATATATAACAAAAAGCCAACAACCAAAAAATGGTAAACAAGTCGAAAAACAACGTCCCCTGACAATGTCTTGACTATTTTTGGATACTCCTCCTGTAGAGGGACAGGCCCAACTTGAACCTACTCCTCCTCAACGCCCTGGTTGCGAAGAGCTTCCCACAAGCTGTCGTGTTCAACAGTGTCGAAGGCTTTCTTGAAATCGATGGCTACTATCCACAGATGTTGGTTCCATTCAGCAGCCCTTTCTCGCAGGACTTGCAAAATAATGAAAAGGTCGCGCGTAACCCCGGCAAAGTCGGAAACCAGCTTGGTCGTCTGGTTGATGCTGGTCCAAAGCTGATTGGAATCTATTGTACAGTAATCTACTGAAGAGCTTGTGCAGCATTGGTATTGCGCAAATCGGGGGATAGTTCTGGGGGGCTGCTAGGTCCCCTGATGTAGGGATTACTGTAATGACGGTTTTTCTCCAGCTGGCTGGCGTGGGGGCGTCTACCTTGATGACTGTGTTGTAAACTTCAACAGAGCTCGTTGGAGCTCTGGGCCTGGCTTTTGGAGCATTTCAGCTCGAATTCCGTTGGTGTCGGGCGCCGTGCCGCCCTTGAGTTGTGAGATTGCTACTTTGAGCTCGACTTCAGTGAATGCTGGAATCTGTTGCGGCTGGCACTACGCGTCGGCTGTTCGTCCGCCCGCAGTGGAAGAAGAGTACAACTAAGCGTAAAAATCTGCGAATACATCCGCAATTCCCTGTCTCGACGTCTCCTTGACGCCGTCGGCGCCCACCATATCAGGAATGAGCGTCTTCTCCTTTCGGTTTTGACAGAGCGGATGTGCTTCAAGCCCTAGTACTGCTCTAGGATGACCTTGATTCGTTCCCTCTGGCCGGCACGCTTTTGCCGTCGGATGTCCTTCTGGATTTGCTTGCTGATCGATCGTCGGGAGGCGGCGTCTGCGGCGGGTGTGCCTTGGCGCTGTCTGACGAGGCCCGATGTGATATCGTCGGTATGTTGGTGCTTGGAGTCGTTTGTGCTGGTTGCGTCTGCTCGTGAAGGCGTCGCCTCGGTGTACACGCCGTGGGATGCGGAGGTGCACATGCTCGTCCCGATGGCGTTGCTCAGTTCCTGCGGGTCTGTCGGCAACTCCCCGCTTTGCAATTGGAGGCATAAGCAACGTTGGTATTTGTCGAAGTTTACGTTCGCCCAATGCTGGCCGCGGGAAGCGGCAGATGAAGAAGTACTTCTCGAAGAGCGTCTGGCGTTCGATTGTGCAGGCGAATGCGGAGCACGACGGCTTTGTGGTCCGAGTTGGGATCCACGATGTTCGAGGCCTCGGCGTCAACGCACAGGGGCAGTAGACTTCTATCCACTAGTATGTAATCGTTTTGTCGCGGATTCCCCGCAGTCGTGGTGTAAGTTATCTGCTTCTCCGGCGGTTTGCGGAAGAACGTTTTCGTGATCGCGAGCCCCTCGGTCGTGGCCCAGTGTCGCAACCATTGACTTCTGGAGTTCTCGTCGCCATGTCCGTGGGGGCCCACAAATCGAAATGATACGGCGTCAGCGGCCCCTGGTTCACCCGAGGGTGCTCGCTTTGGCCGCGGAGGTGCGCCTACCCGGGCGCTGAAGTCTGCAGCAAGAATGGTCCGTGTGCTGCGTGTGCGGGACTCCGTTAGCAAGGCACCAATGCCGTCGCACATGCTTGGTATGTGTGCGGCAGTGTACCCGGTGTGTGGAAAGCATGCTGAGACCAACTGTATTCGGGTTCGCCCCTTTTTGATGGTCACCGCGGCAAACCTCGCATCGACGGCTTGGAACTCTGATTATGTAAGACTTCCAGCGCTTGTGAACTAGAATTGCAGCACCATGGCACAGCCTGTCCTTTCCAAAGCCTGCGAAGGTATGCCCCTCGCCCGTGCACCACAGTTCTTTTTGCTCTGTCATCCAAATCTCGTTGATCAGGATTGCGTCCCAGTGCTGATTCTGCACGTCACAGAGGAGCTCCTCGATTCAATCATCATTTTCCAAGGACCTCGCAGTCTTGTGGATGACCGTGCGTGCGGTGTCACCCCTGCTCTCGATGGTGACCGCCGGTGATGTTGGGGAGGGTTGGTCGGAGGGTAGGAGGAGGTGGTTGGGTAGGATAAGTGGGGCTGTCGTCGTCGACGTTGTCGTCGCACTCAGTTGGTCCATGGCGAGGCAGCCGATATCGTAGAGATGCGACGGGAAATCGCTTTGCACATCACTGAATACCTCTCGTCCTCCTCCTCCCGTTCGTGGTCGTCCGGGTAGGTCAATGATTGAGCTGGCTTGCGCTGTTGGGCGATGGTGGTCGGTTCCGGCAGCGCTGCTCGTCGTCGGTGATCCTGTCGGGAGTGCCTGATCGGCGGTGCTGCTCGCTAGTCGGTGCTGCTGCCGGAGTTCGATAGTCGGAAGTGGAAGTGGAGGCTGAAGTACTGCTGGGTCGCTGGAGGTCGGAGGTCGATGCTCGAAGGTGGAAGTGGAAGGTCGGATGCTGGATGCTGGAGGTGGGGGTGCTGCGCAAAGAGAAGCTGGATGTCAAAGCGTGGAGGTAGAAGTAGAAAGACTGACGTGCAAGGCTGGAAGTCAGTGCGCTGCGCTGGAGGAAGCTGGAGGTCGGCAGGTGGGCGTGGAAGCGCTGGGGGCTGGAGGTCGGAAGAGAAAACCGAATTCGAAGAAACCGTCAAATGATGTTGATGACTTGATCGATGTAACGCATCGTGCGTTACATCGATCGTGCGTTCATGTAGATCATGCGTTGGTCCGACGCCAACGCACGTTCATGTAGATCGTGCGTTGGCGTCGGATTCACCGCCAATGAAACGCAGGGTTGGTCGGCGCAAGCCTGTGGTGAACAGGTGTCCTCGCTGCTGGTGCCGAGGTGGTAGGAGTCGGAGCTCGAGGAGACAACTTGGTGACCTTCACCATCAAAACATTTTGGGCCATAGTCGGGAGCCAACAGCTGGAGGTCAAACGCGTTGGGGAGGGAGCCGAAGTCGGAGTGAAGAGGCAAGTGTGGAAGATGGGGTGGTCCTCCTTTTCCGTCTTTTCCCCCTGGCGGAACTGCGTATGCACGTACTAGTGGTTGGCCGCCCTCGGTGATCATGTCATCCGTCGAAGATCCAACAGCACTGATCCCAGCTGCTCGAGGTCGGATTTGCGAACCCAGGTCCTGCACAGAGTCTCCCTCAAGAGTGTCAGAAAATTGTGAACTACATATTTGAATTTCGATTTCGCTCGAGATGTTCTCCCCCCTGGTCTCAGACGAGCTCGGACGGGGAGTGGGTGAAACATGCAAGGTCGGAGTTGGGGTGCCGTTCTCGATGTTCGAAGCGGGGGCCCCGTTGGTGACAGGTGTCGCATCACAGTCGGAGATAGTGCGCCGGCCGCGGAGGATGCAAAGTGGAACATCTCCAGGAACGTTGCTGTAGGTCTGTCGTCCTCCCCCACGGCTGTGTGAAACTTGACAGTGGGCATGACGACGTGGCTCCTGTAGTGCAGAAGCGTCCGTCAAGAAGGCTTGCACGAATCCTTTGGGGGAGTCCTGGTAGGAAGTTGGAAGGTAGCTGTTGATGCTGGGGCTCCCAGGAGTCCCAATCGAACAAGAATGGCTCACGTTGGAGCCCCAGGAGGTCCAAAGAACAAGCCGCAGTCCGTCCGAAACATTGTGGGCCGAGGGCGAGATGTGTTGTGAACCTGGCGCCGAACGGGCTGCCGAATTCTGACGCATGCCTCCCCAGTGGTCCGAAGCGGAGGTCGGAGGAGAACTGGGCGGTTTAGGGCTGGGAGCTGGCGCCTCCTGGAACTGTTCCTTCACAAACGCCTCCACCGTTGTCCCTCCCCTCAATCGGGCGCTCCCACCCGCTCGTTCAGCTCGACCCCGCGCTGCACGCACTTCGTCTTCTCCTCCGCGCGGGAGCGGGCGTGGGCGCCCTCCGCCTCACCCCTCGTCTTCGTGTTGCAGTTATGCGTCCAGTGTATTCCTCCTCCCTCCTCCTCCTCCTCCTCCTCCTCCTCCTCCTCCTCCTCCTCCTCCTCCTCCTCCTCCTCCTCCTGGAGGGCCGAGGGAGAAGGAGGAGGAGGAGTTTCGGGGAGCGAGCGAGGAAGAATGGACAAGGGAAGCTGACATGGAGCCTGCCTTTACAAGCTCATAAGGGTACATCCTCTTCTTCACCCCTCCATCTTCTACTCGTCCTCCTCCTCCTCCTCCTCCTCCTCCGCCTCATCCTCTACCTCCGCCTCCGCCTCCTCCATCATCATCATCATCATCATCATCATCATCATCATCATCATCATCATCATCATCATCATCATCATCATCATATCATCATCATTATCATCATCATCATCATCATCTCATCCTCATCCTCATCATCATCCTCATCATCATCATCATCATCATCATCATCATCATCATCATCGCAGCATCATCATAAGCATCAGCATCATCAGCATCATCAGCATCATCAGCATCATCATCATCATCATCACCATCATCACCATCATCATCATCATCATCGTCGTCATCGTCATTATCATCCAACTCCTCCTCCTCCTCCTCCTCCTCCTCCTCCTCCTCCTCCTCTTCCTCCCCCCGACCATCATCATTACCATCATCATCCTCAACAACAACATCAGCATCATCACCAGCATCATCATCATCATCATCATCATCATCATCAACAACATCGTCACCATCATCATCATCATCATCATCATCACCATTATCAGCATCATCATCGTCAGTATCATCATCATCATCATCATCATCATCATCATCATCATCATCATCATCATCATCATCATCATCATCATAATCAGCATCACCATCATCATCATCATCACCATTGCCATCGTCATCGCCATCGTCATCATCAGTGTTCCTCCTCCTCGTCTTCGTCATCTCCATAGTTTCCTTCGGCGAGAAGTAGCATCATCGTTCACACCATCATCAGCCTCATCATCACCTGCAGCATCATTATCATCGTGATCAATGACATCATCATCACCATTATCATCATCAGCAGCATCATAATTATCATCATCAGCAGCATCAGCAGCAACATCATCGTCATCATCAGCAGCATCATCACCCTCACCACCGTCATCATCACCATCATCAGCATCATCGTCATCCTCATCATCGCCATCACCGCCATCACCATCAGCATCATCATTATCAACATCGTCATCGCTCACATCATCAGCATCATCATCATCAGCATCATCATCAGCATCAGTATCAGCATCATCATCAGCATCATCATCAGCATCGTCACCATCATCATCATCGCAAGAATCATCGAAAGCAGCGTCATCGCCATCGTCATCGTCATCGTGGTCATCATCAATATCAGATTTGCCCTCGTCGCATCATACCAACACCATCGTCATCGTCATCATCATCAGCATCAGCATCATCATTGTCGTCATCAGTACCGTCGTCGTCACCACCATCAGCCGCAGCAGTGCCAGCATCGTCAGCATAACTATCACTATAAGCATCATCAGTATCATCATTACCATCACCAACATCAGCATCATCATCATCAGCAGCAGCAGCATCAGCATCATCATCCTCATCATCGTCATCGTCATCATCAGTATCATCATCACCCTCATCACCCAAATCGCCCTCGTCATCATCATCGCCATTCCGTAGCCATTTTGGCTCAAGTCCGTAGCCCTTTCGGGTCAGGACCTGGCCTCACTGGCAAGGGGGGAGCAGCGGCCCCCACAGTGCTCCTCCTCGTCTGCCAGGCCAGACGAGGGTTTTTGGCTTCTCCTGCTCTCGAGCTGCTGTGGCATGGTCCCCGCGCCCCCGCAGCCCCGCTCCCAGAGCAGACACCAGACCCGCTCCCAGAGCGGCTACAAGACGTGCTATGGCAAGAGCTCATGTGGCTATCAGTATAATCTGGTGGATTGGGCTCGCTGCTATCGTTGCAAGAAGTGGCTCCGCGACGACCCGGTTCGGGACACGGTCAAGGGGCCCCCCCGTCCTTGGACAGGCGAGCAGCAGTCCAAGGATGCATGGCAACAGGTGGAGTCCACGCGCCGCAAGGCCAAGTCGAGCCCAGGCACGAGTGCTGACCAGTCCCAGTCTGGGAGTGGGAAGGGCGGCTCGGCCCAACAGCGCAGTGGCAAAGGATCGGACGCAGGTGGCAAGCAGACGCAGCGCGACTACCTCGCGGCTGCAGTGGAGCAGCTCACGCTTGCTGGACTGGCAGACGACCACCCGCTCATGGTGGCCGCCAAGGCTCAGGTGCCCTCCGCTGCTGCTGCTCAGCCTGACGAACGTGGCCCACCGCCATGGATGCGAGTTCGGTCCCATCAGGACAAGCTGGCCCACTTCCAGGGCCAGCTTACTGCGTCGAAGGCGACGGAGGCCAACCTCCGTCAACAGATCACGGAGCTGGAGCAGGACCTGGAGGACTGCGTTGCATCCCAGGCGGCTCTGGCGGAATCGGTCAAGAAGGAAGAGGAGGAGCTCCAGAGGCTCCATCGACGTGCTGCTCTTCACCCTGCTGGTGATGACTGCAAGGCGGCTGTCAACGGGCTGGTGGAGACGCTGTTCGGCCATCTGCCCGAGTCGTTCAGAGTGGCGAAGGCGGACCAGCTCCGCACCGCGGTGGACCTCCTGGGCGACCTGGCTGCTGCTGGGGCCTCTTTCCAGGAGCAGGAGGAAGCACGGCGGAAGGCACAGGCCGAGGAGGCCGCGCAGCGTGCCATGTCGGGCAGCTGCCCTTCGCCAGCCCCAGCGGCACCCTCGGACTCACGTGTGGCGGAGGATTGCAAGCAGCAACTTACTGAGTTGCTGGAGGGCGGACAGGCAGGGCAGTACGAAGGTCTCTACAGGACCATGCTCGATTTCCTGCAGAACCCTTCAGCCCTCAGCAAGAGGCCCAGGAGGGACGCGCCAGGCCCAGAGGCTGCGGCGGCGGCGGCCCCCTCGGCCGCGCCTGGCCCTGCGGCTGCTGATGTTCCTGCTGATGTTCCTATGCCTGCTGACCGCGATGTCGCTGGTGCCCCACCCCCGTCGGGGTAGCGGGGTCGGCGCTGCAGCTGCTGGACGCCGCCTGCCTGCGCCCGCCTCACACCGAGGCAGGTGGCGCTCCCTGGCGGCGCGGGCTGGGGCTACTGGCCATCGACGAGTTCGAGGCGAGAGTGTGCAGGAGGAGACTCCTGCGGTGCAGGAGGAGACTCCTGCGGCCCGTCGGCCTGAGGTATGGAAGCTGTGTACGGCCAACATCACCTCGTGGGGCATCGAGTGCGGGGACAGGGGTAAGGTCACGAGAAGGCCCTTCCTGGAGCTCTGCGACTCTGTGGATGCCGACATCTACGTTTTCCAAGAGCACCACCAGACGGAGCTACGTTTGGTGGACGTTCAGCAGGCGCTGGTCAAGGCTGGCATGGTCTCACTCCTCACTCCTGCTGCCCCCTCAGGTCGTTCAGAGGCTGGCACCACTGGAGGAGTGGGCATTGCGACTTCGAAGCTCTGGGGCCTCAAAGGACTCGATGATTTGCCTGAGGGTATCGCGGTTCCTCCTGGATGTCGATTTCGTCTGGGGCTCTGGAGTGGGTTATGTACTGGAGGTGTTTTAGTCGGATCGGTCTACCTGCACACTGGAATCGGCTGCCGCGGTCAAAATCTTTCCTTGCTGCACAGTATTGGGGAGGTCCTGAGGGCGTATGGCATGCCGTTTATTCTGGGTGGAGATTTTCAGTTTTCAGCGGAGCAACTGGTCGAGTCTGGTTGGATTGGGGATCTTCAGGCTGAGGTGGTCTCTGACGTCTCGAATTGGACCTGTCAGTTGGGTACGTCTCGGTCGTCCATCGATTACTTTGTCCTCTCCTCCTCGCTCAAGCAGTTTGTGGTGAGCTGCTCAGTTGCGACATGGTCTACCAGTACCAGACCGCACCGCCCTGTGGTGTTGAGCATGTCTGGCCACCCGCGGCAGGTGACAGTTCCCAGGCTCAAGAAGCCGTCGGCGTTCCCTCTCCACCGCCCTGTTGGATGCGACCCTCGCCCCCTGGAGTGGGACGACTTGCGTGATCAGCTCTCCCAGGGGGATTGTACCAAGGACCGTTTGGATGCTGTCACTTCTCTGTGGGTTCAAAGGGCTGAGGTGGCGCTTTCTCGCGTATTTCATGTCGATGGGGATCCACGATACCGAGGCCGAGGAGGCCCCCCCAAGGTGGTGCAAGTCCCTCTGCTCGGCCCCCCTGCCTCCACTCACCCCAGGGCTATTGGGGAGGGCCGTATGTGGCGTGTCTTGGAAAGGCGACTCCAGGACATCGTGTATCTCTGGCATGGGCCTGCGCCCACCTTGGGGGGGATCAAACAAGCGGGGATCCTCTTGCGGAAGCTCGTGAACTACCTGTCCCCCTTCACCGATTGCAAGCATTGGGCTTCTTGGCGAGTTCGGGTTCTGGCCGTCAACCCTGCCAACGTCTCGGAGCTCCAGGAGTTGATCTGGCAGGTCCGAAAGTGGGCCCTTCAGCACGAGCATCATGCGGCCTCGGAGCGGGCCCGAGCCTGGCGTGAGTGGGTTCAAGATGCGTTATCTGGGAGCGCTCGACTGGGCCACCGGTTCACCAAAGAGGTTCCGAAGTGGGCTGCATCTGGGCTCTCTTGTTTCTCGGGGCCGTCTGGTGAGCCTCTGGGGATTGCTGCTGAAGCCGATCTTCGGGCTCAAAAGTGGCATCAGCATTGGGGTGCCGGACAAGTTTTCCCAGAGCCTGATTTTGGCTGGTGCGATGACGAGCCAGAGCTGGAGGCCCCCACCCATGAGGAGCTCTTAGCCCTTACCAGGACCTACAGCACGCACACGGCCATCGGAGTCTGTGGCCTGCATCCCCGTCACTGGTCCTTCCTCGACGACGGCGCTGTCGCGGTTTTCCTTCGGATCTGGGCCGAGATGCAGCGCCTGGTTCACATTCCGAGGTGCTGGGCTCTGCTGCTTATTGCTCTTCTACCGAAGCCGCCGCCTGAAGGGGGAGATCGTCCTATTGGGATCTTCGCGACGCCTCTTCGGTTGTGGTCCCGCTGGGCCCGATGGAAAGTTGCTGGCCCTTGGGAAAAGGCAAACCCTCGCGGGTTCTGGTATGGTGACTCAGGGGCCTCATGTGACATTTGCGTTTGGAAGCAGAGTTTCAAGGCGGAGTTGGCCAGAGACCAGGGCAGAGCGGCAGGGACAACCCTGCTCGACCTGGTCAAAGCATATGAGCACGTGCCCCACCATGTTTTAGCTGCAGCAGCCCGTCGGCACAAGTTCCGAGGTAAGACCCTTCGCTTCCTGCTCGCATCATATTGCCTCGACAGAATGGTGCTCTTCCAGAACATCGCCACGCAGGTGGTGGTGACGCACCGCACGATTGTCGCGGGCTGCAGCTGCGCGACTTCCCTGCTGCGTCTGGTGCTCTTGTCGCCAGTGGATGCCGTCTCTCTTCGCTTCGTGAATGTCGAGGTGGCGGTCGTGGTAGATGATCTGCAGTTGCAACGTATTGGCGAGGCATGGGAAGTCGCCAGGGAACTCAAGGGGGCCGAGGACCTATTGGCGGCTGAGCTTACGCAGATCGGCTTGACTCTCTCCCTGCCCAAGAAGCACCAGGTGGTCATCGGCCAAGGCATACGGAAGGTGTTTAGGAAAGTCAACCCGTCCTCGTCGAGGTTCCTCACACGCTCGGTTCGGAACCTGGGGCTGGACTTTGGCGGTGGAAATCGGCTTTCTCATTCGGTTCGTGCACAGCGGCTGGGCAGGATGGCGTCTCGGATCCCTCGGTATAAGCGGCTCGCGAAAGCTGGGGGCAAGACGATCAAGCTGGTGCAGACTGGCCTCAAGCCTGGGATGCTCTGGGCAGTGGGAGTTCACGGCATCAGCAACACGCACCTACTGAGCGCCAGGCAACTGGCGCGCGCGGGCATGGTCTACAGGCACACGGGCAGGTCGCTCTCATTGGACCTCATGCTGGCTGGGCCGCAGGTCGACCCCGCCTTCGAGTGCAACAGGAGCCCGATCTTCCTCTGGCTGCAGGCGCTGTGGGACGGATGGGCCCCCAGAGCAGATATGGCGCGACTTCTGAGTGGAGCATGGACACGCCTGTCTAGAGTTCCTGTGTCTCAAGTTTGGTCTGACATTCGCGGACCTGCTTCTGCGCTAGTTGCGACAATTTTGCGGTTGGGTTGGTCTGTATCTGACCCTTTTCATTGGAAGACCCACCGAGGTCCTCTTGCAATTGAACAGATTTCCCCGAAGGATGGAGGTAGGTTAGTTGATGAGGCCACCGAGCGGTGGGTGTGGCGCCAGGTTCTCGCGAAGCATCCCTCGTGGGTCTCGCCCTGCCCTCATCCTCCTCTCGTGGAGCCCCTGAGGTCCCTCCTCCAGCCTCATTCTGTCCGAGGCCCTGACTGGACCCCAAGGCATCAGGGACTGCTGCGGTGCCTGTTTGCAGGAGGTTTCTGGTCGCAGGAGCGACTGTACGAGTCAGGTGGAGCCGTCAACCCGAGCTGCCTTGCCTGTCAGAGTGCTGGATCTACCTGGCACCGATTCTACGATTGCCCCCTGCATACCGAGTTCCGTCGGGATTACAGAGCTGGCAGTGCCATGGCTGGTCAAATGCTAGACATGGCTCGAGCTGCTGCGGTGGATACCTTGCTTTTCACGCGCTTTCTTGTCCCTGACCCTGCTTGGCTCTTCCCGAGCCCCTGCCTCGAGGAGCGAGTCGTGTGGACGGTGCGGTCTCCCGACTTGCTGCTCGACGTGCACGTGTTCGGTGATGGGTCGGGGAGGCACGGAAGTTTCTCTCGCTTACGGCGCTGCGGATGGGGACTCTGTTCGCTTGACGACAGCAAGCGAGTGGTTGCTCGCCTGCATGGCCCTCTGCCCTGCCTCATTCAATCTGTGCCAGCGGCTGAGCTTTTCAGTTTCTTGATGGCGCTGAGGTATATGGGAGCTCAGATGAAGTTTTATACGGATTGCAAGCCGCTCGTGGATGTCTGGCGCCAAGGCTTTGGAGCGGGCACCGCTGCGAGTGACCCGCTTGCCTTACTTTGGAGGGAGGTTTGGAGGCTTGTGTCTGACCGTGGGGGTGAGTCGGTGGAGGTTTCTCACGTCAAAGCGCATACTCCTGCCTCTGCCGTAGCAGAGGGACGGATTTCAGAATGGCAGCGTGTCGGCAATGCCCAGGCTGATCAGTCGGCTAAATGGGGTGCCGCCATGCATAGTGATTCCCTCCAGCTGCGATCTGCGCATGGCGCGTCGCGCAGCGCCATCCGCCTTGTAGCCCAGTTCTGTACCAGGCTGGTCGCTCGGATCGGCACCATCACGCCACGTGACGCCCAAGCGCAAATACTCGGCCGTGCCATAGGCACGATTGAGGGGGGACTTGGTCCCCCGAAGCCGCACTCGCGTTTCGACCCTGCAGTGACGGTGGTTGCGCACAGGTTCCGATGCATGGTGTGCCTTCGATCAGCGAGGACACGCTCGGTGCTTCGCCAGCTTCGATGTGACGACAGGTCCAGCTCCCACGCACTTCACCGCGCGGGGCCTTTCCTGTTCTGCTCTCTGTGCGGGGCATTTTCGGAAAAGAAGAGCCAGGGTCTTTCGCAGGATTGCTTACCGATGCATCGTAGGCAGGGTGTCCTGGTGAGAGACTCGAGATACTACAGGCTGCGCAACCTCATGCGAGGCTGCCATCCTTTACGGGCCCGCGATTTTGTGGGCCCTCCGATTTTGCTGCGGAAGCGAAGGCTGCTGGAGTCGGCCGAACTGCCGCCTCTGCCTGCTCTTTCTCCTCCGGTCGGGACTGGGAGTGGGGGGGTGGGGGTGGGGTGGACGGGGCAGGAGTGCTCTCCGCCGCCCGCTTTCCAGGCCGATCTGGCCTTGTGGGACGGCCTCTCTGGCTTTCCCATTGCCAGCGTAGAGGAGGACGACGGCGACCCATCCCAAGGTGCGTGGGGTCGGGTCGAATGCGTCCCCTGCGCTGGCTAGCGGTTTTTCAAACGAAGGCTGGTTCGCTTGCGGTCAGTCTCTGTCAGTAAAAAAAATCATCATCGCCATCAGCATCATCGTCATCGTCATCACCAGAGTCGTCATCCACATTACCATCAGTCATAATCAGCAACAGCAGCAAAATAAGCTTCATCATCATCATCATAATCATCAGCAGCAGCATCATCATCGCCATCGCTATCGTAATCGTCAACGTCATCGTCGCTACCAAAATCAGATTCGTCGTCATCATCATCATCATCATCGCCAACACCATCATCATCGTCATCATCACCGACGTCATCACCAGCAGCCGCAGCAGCATCATCATCGCCATCAAAGTCATCTGCAAAAGCATCACCAATATCACTAGTATCATCACCAACACCAAAAGAATCACCATCATCATCAACACCATCCTCATCATCAGATTCATCATCATCGCCTTCATCACCCGCATCACAGTCATCGCCCTCATCATCATCATTGCCGTCATCAGTATCACCAGAGTCGTCATCTACATCATCATCACCATAATATTATTATCATGAGCATCATACTCAAGATAATCAGCATCATCATCACCACCACCATCATCACCAGAATCAGCAAGAGCAGCAGCATCAACATCAGCATCGTCATCATCAGCATCACCATCAGAATCGCCATCACCAGCAGCACCACCATCGTCATCGTCATCATCATCAACAACAGCAGAATCATCATCATCAGCATCAGCAGCATCATCATCGTCATCGTCATACTAATATGAATATCATGGTTCGCAAAAGTGCTTATTACCCTTCCCATCCAACTCCTACCCTTGATCCTCATTATCGTCCCTCGCCCCCTAGCGCCTCTCAGGAATTCCATCTTTCTTCTTCTCACAGCCTCCGCCATGGCTCGTCATCGCGCGCCTCCCTCTCTTCCTTCTCTTGAGTCCTCACCTTCTCCCCCGTCCCTCCTCGCTGCCCTATCCCCCTTCTACCACTCTTCCTCCTCCTCCCGCTCAGTGATTCTAGGCGGCTCGCAAGAACATGCAATGTCGGGCAACAGATGCTGGTCGGCTGCATCGAACTAAGCCTGCTCAAGTCAAATCCCTGTTGTTTTCGCGAGAGGCTATTCGCGGCTATGTCAAGCGAGTGCTCCTTCTTCCCCTCCTTCCTTCCCCGCCCTCCTCTTCCTGTATCCTCTCCCTCCTCGCCCCCACCTGCCCCCCCCTCCGCCGATGGCCGCCGAGGGCCACCAGAGGCAGTGGAGGGCTACCGACGGCTGCCAGAGGCCTCTGAGCCCAGGCGTGTGATGACTCGACTTTTCCAATGCGGGGCCACCGAAATCCCAACTCTTTCCCTCGGACCGGCTCTTCGTCTCGAGCCGGTGTTGGACGGTCCTGGGGCACGGCGAGGGCCCGCGGAGGCCGAAAACGGCCAAAAGCCTTCCGCCGTGAGTCTTGTAGACGAGCGCGCTCCACTAATTGCTCGCAGAGTAACTACTCGCAAATGGCCTGGATCCGCCGCGGGGGATCTACGATAAATTACATCGACGCAGACATGTATTTTTCGGACGCACTTCGCGAGTAGTGGAACGCGCTCGGTGATTGTTGGCACGAAGTGAGCACTGTCTGGGAGGGCCGCGGAGGGCTGCCGAGGGCCCATGGGGCACTGCCCCCCGGCAGGGCGGAGGCGCGGTCCTGTTGCAGCTGGTCGTGCTGGGCCTCCAGCTTCTGGGCCTCCTGCCGCGTGCGGGCCAGCTGCTTGTCCTGAGGGGGCGCCCCGAGGCTGCCCTGCCCACAGCCATAAGGAAGCCGACGCTGCCTCGGCGAACCTTCAGGACGATGTCCATGCAGAAACGAAGAGCATCAGAGCGTTGCAGTGCCTTCAGCTCGGGGGAAACCCGTAACTGCTCCTCAGGAGGAGGGGGAAGAGGAGCAGGAGCTTCGGCTCCGAAAACTCAGCACGACTCCAACTCGGTGTGCTCCCTTGCAGAAGGCAAACGTGTGCACTGCAATGCCACAAGATGTAACGCATTGCGTAGCAGTACATAACATCGCACTGTGCAACCTACCATAACATAGGACCACTGCCATGTTGAACAGCAAGCCTTGGTGAGGTATGCAATGGCATAGCACGTCATAGTATGGCATCGCATGCAACCCCATAGACTATTGTATAGGCTTGGGATGCTGTGTATGATGTCACAGCGTCGCTAATCATGTCATAGCATTGGTTCGCCAGACACTACTTCCCCTTAGGGGTTCTTACTTGTTGTCTGAGGTACTGAGCCTGTGCGTGGGTCTGGCAGCTACGCAGTCGCCGTCGCCGCCCCGTCGCCGCCTCGTCGCCGCCTATCGTCTGGGCCTGTGCGTCGGTCTGGCCGCTATGTAGTCGCCATCGCCGGCCCGTCACCGCCTCGTGGCCGCCCATCGTCTGGGCCTGTACGTCGGTCTGGAGGGTATGTAGTCGCCTTCGCCGCCCCGTCGCCGCCTCGTCGCCACCCATCGTCTAGACCTGTGTGTCGGTCTGGCGGCTATGTAGTCGCCGTCGCCGCCCCGTCGCCTCCTCGTCGACGCCCCGTCGCTTGGCACCACACACATTGCTCCACATAGATTACACAACACAGATTGCAGCACATAGGTTGAACATCACAGAGTGCACCACATAGATTGCACACCATAGATTGCTACACATAGACTGCGCCACATAGATTGCACACACCAGGTATTGCTCCACATAGGTTGCACAACCTAGAGTGCACCACATAGAGTTTGCTCCACATGGGTTGCACAACCTAGAGTGCACCACATAGATTGCTCCACAAAGATTGCACAACTTAGATTGCAATTTATCTATATACGTAGATTGCACCAAATGGATTGCACTACAAATACAGTCCCACATAGAAAGCACCAGCTAGATTGCTAGAAACACACAAGTTGGGGTCCACGCTGGCCGACATATGCCTACAGTGTCGTAACACTGTGTAACACAGAATTGCATGTCGGCTTATTGTAAAACCACAACACATGTCATCGCATATCCTAGCAGGGTAGCCCAGCACTGGATCGCAGAACGTAGCATGACGTAGTACAGCATTTCACTGCATGTGCGTGTAGCCTATGCCACTGCGAACCTGCCACGGCGAACCATCACATACCAAAGCATGTTATAGCATGGCATCGCTATGCAGCATTGTACACCTTAGCGTTGTACAGAACATAAGTGCCCCACATTGTACGGCAAGGAGTAGCATCGAAGGGCTGCGCAAAGTATCGCATACATAGTGCTGATGAAATGCATTACGTTGCGCAGCATAGAACACGCTGGCATATTAGCGGCTCAGCGTATTACATGGCCCTGGCATCGCATAACAAAGTACAGCAGCACCACTGCTTAGCATACAACTACCACGTAAACAGCATGGCACAGCATAGCATTGAACAGCACTGGATGGCATTGCGTGGCGCTACATTGCATGGCAGTGCACAACACAGCATCATTCAGCAATGCAAACGCAGCATGGCACAGCACGGCGTGGCATAGAAAAGCAGGCACGTGTAAGGGGAAGCAAAGCAAAGAAGAGCAACGCACAGCAAAACAAAGCAACGAAAAGCACCGCAAAAACAAAAAGAAAAAAATCACCCTAGGAACCCCCAGGAAACCCCTGAGAAAATTGAGGGGACCTCCGAACAATCTCTGGGAGCGCCAAGCAAGGCTCCGCAACTCAAAGCATGTCAAGGAAACGCGAGGCAAGATGTAATACGATGCAAAACAACGCAGTGCTATACAAAGCAACTGAAGGAAGCATGAAGCAATGAAAAACAAGCGATGCTGTTCAAAGCAACATTCAAATCAACACAACAAAATTCAATGAAATGCGATGCAAGCAAATGCAGCTTAACGTAATGCAACGCAATGCACTGCATCGCAGAACATCGCAGAACAATAGTGAAAGTGAACCCATGCTGAGCAACACGCTACAAAACGACCAAAGAAGGCGCGCCGACGTTGGACCCGGAAGGCAAAACGGGGACCCAACTTGAAGCTACCCCCCTCCTTTGTCAAAAGGGGGCCTTCGAAGGCCACCCCCCTTCCTCCCCGTCGGAAGCCAGGGGACCCATTGCAAAACGGGAGGGTGAGGCTTTCGGAACTACCCCCCTCCTGCACATTTGAAGCTGGGGGGAAGCCAGGCTCTCCTGTCCAAACAGTGGGGAGGCTTCGGAAGATACACCCCTTTCCCCAATCCGGGGGTCCCCATTGCCAGGATGAGAGGTTTCCAAAGATATTTGCCCCCCTCTCCCCCTCCACCGTTTCTTAAGCCGAGGGTAACCTGGGGGCTCCCCTTCAAAAAGGGACGGTGGCTGCGAAAGCCCCCCCTCTTCCGCCCCTTCCTCTGGTTTTTTCCTGCGTGTCAAGCCTTGTGGAGCAGGCGGTCCCGGCAGTCTGCAGGCTGAAAGCATTGCAGCTCCTTGCTTTCAATGTTGCCGTGCGTTTCTCCACCCATCGCTCCTCACCTCCTTTTTCGAAGCTGGCGGCGGGATGATCTGCCGGCCAGAAGCTTCGTCGTCGAACTGCTGTCTTCTATGTTCCTCCTCTCACCGCTGCCGGTTGACTAGAAGGATAACAGTACTATGTCAGCCCCCTTGCGCTGCCATGCGACGCGAAGAATAAATGTGTGTTGTTTCACGCCAAGTGCGTTGCCAAATACAGTTCAAGGATCAGGGTATGATTCGACACCCGGATTGGCAAGCAGGGAAGTATGGAACGCAATGGAGAGGAGTTGGGAGAAAAGCACGCGATGTCAGGTGAGGCGCAAGCGCACATAGTTTGTCCCCATTCCCTCTCCCCACTCCCACGTCCTCCATCCTTCCTCCCTCCTCCCCCTTAGGGCGGCGAGATCTATACATATCCACTGCTCCCTGGCCAGGCCCAGCCTGAACCCAGCAGCGGTGCATACGCCACGCCCTCCTGGCTTGGCCAGGAGGGCGTATACACAGCTCGTGAGCTCAGGATGGGCCTGGCCGGGGAGCAGTGGATATGTATAGACCTCGCCGCCCGACCCCTGCTCCCCTCCCCACATCCCCCCTCCCCTTCCTCCCTCCCCCGTCCCTCACGCCCCCTCCCTTTTCCCACCCGCCGTCCTCCGACTCCTCCCTCCTCCGTCGTCTCCCCCCGCCCCTTTTTCCGCCCTGCCTCCTGTTTCCTCCTCCATCTCGCCTCCTTCCCCTCCTCCTCTCCCCCGCGTCCTCCTCCTCCTTCCCATCTCCTCCTCCTCTTCCTCCTCCTCCTCCTCCTCTTCTTCTTCTGATTAATCTTCTTATTTGTCTGCATAGTTTGTATTACTGTCATTGGTATGTATTTATTAGAATGGGTATTATTAGTTGTATTACTGATATTATGTTTTAATATAATTATTCTTATTATTATTACTATTATTATTATTAATAATAATTAATAATATTATTAATATTATTATTATTAGTATTATTATTATTAATTCTTACTTCTTATTATTATCATTATTATTATTCTTATTATTCTTAGTGTTAGTATTATTATTATTACTATTATTAGTCGGAGGTTGGGGGGTGAGATCGCAGTGAAACGGAGACCCCCCACCGGGAAATCGGTTTCATTTTCGTGTTCGTGTCGTGCGTGCGGGCGGGGCGAAGCTGCGCGTGATCCTCTTGTAGCTAGGCCGAAGTAGGAGCGAAAGTCCGTTCCCGTCCGCCGGTGGCTGGGAGGTGTCCCAGTTGGGCCAGGCGGTGTCCCGGGTGTCCCGGGTGTCAGTAGGAGCGAAAGTCCGTTTCTCGTCCGCCGGTGGCCGGGAGGTGTCCCAATTGGGCTGGGCGGTGTCCTGGGTGTCCCGGGTGTCCCGGGCGTCCTGGCGCTAACGCATGTGGGATCGATAGTGGGATCGATAGTGAGATCGACAAGTGTCCCGAGGTATCCCGTGGTGTCCCGTTGAGTCAGATCGATAGTGAGATCGATAGTGAGATCGATCGTGAAATCGATGCGGTATCCCGAGGTGTCCCGTGGTGTCCTATGGTGTCCCGCTGAGTGAGATCGATAGTGTGATCGATAGTGAAACCGATAGTGAGATCGAGAGGTGTCCCGCGGTGTCCCGTGGTGTCCCATGATGGCCCGTGGTGGCCCGTGGTGGCCCGTTGAATGCGATCGATAATGAGATCGATAGTGAGATCGACAGGTGTCCTGTGGTGTCCCGCCGTGGTGTCCCGTTGAGTGAGATCGATAATGAGATCGATACTGAGATCGATGTGGTGCCCCGAGGTGTCCCGAGGTGTCCCGTGGTGTCCCGTTGAGTGAGATCGATAGTGAGATCGATAGTGAGATCGACAGGTGTCCCGAGGTGTCCCGTGGTGTCCCGCTGAGTGAGACCGATAGTGAGATCGATAGTGAAATCGATGTGGTGTCCTGAGGTATCCCGTGGTGTCCTATGGTGTCCCGCTGAGTGAGATCGATAGTGAGATCGATAGTGAGACCGATAGTGAGATCGAGAGGTGTCCCGCGGTGTCCCGTGGTGTCCCAAGGGGTCCCGAGGTGTCCCGTGGTGTCCCGTTGAGTGAGATCAATAATGAGATCGATAGTGAGATCGACAAGTATCCCGTGGTGTCCCGTGGTGTCTGGTGGTGTCCCGTTGAGTGAGATCCATAGTGAGATCGATCGAGTCAGATGTTGGTCCCCCCTCTCCCCCCCCACCACCTCCTTAAAACCCGAAGGGTGGTCGTATAGGTAGTAGTAT